CAAACCTACGTAATAATAAGGGATTGTGTCGCGTTCCAGCATGAAGGCCGCCATGTTGCTGATGCCGCTGCTGGCCCTTGCGTGCTTTGCACACGCGCTGCCCGTGGAGCCAGACGTACTCTCTTCCGTGGACGACGTGCACATGAACGCCGCGGCGGAGCCACACGTGGTGGAGGCGGAGGCGGATTCGCTCCGCGCGGTGGACACCCCGGCGTCTGACAAGTTGGTGAGTGTTCCTTCGGGGGACAAAGAGACGTTGCTCTAAGAAGAACCGGTTTGGCACATGAGAAAACAAATAAAGGTCGTGTTCGATGCATTAGAATGGTGTCGAAGTGATATACAAGTGAGAAAACTGCAAAAAGAACGCATTAACGAATTCGGAGATAAATAGAAACTCCAGATATGTTCCCAGAAACCCCTAAGCAGAAGCTCACAAAGCAGTCCCTTTTTAGAGTAATTTCTCTACCTTGGCGTATCACATTTGTCTTTCTGGGCAGAAGTCTCCTGCTCTCCTAATATAGGCTGAGGTGGGTGATGTCACTGCAGTGACTCTGATGGAATTTCCGAGTGTTCGTGTCCTGACAGTGCAGAAATTTCGATACTAGCCTGATAGCAAAGGCGAACTCAAACGCTGTCTATAAGATAGTTCTATCGGGCAGTTGCCTAACTCGTTTATTCATTTATCCATTTACCCATTTATTCGATTATTATATTATCCATTTATTATTTAAACGTTTGTGCATTTGTTCGTTAATTCATTTATCCATTTATGCATTTGCTAATTTATTCAATTATTCATTTATACATTTACCCATTTATGCATTTGCCTGTCACTTGTTCTAGTGGGCTGTTGAATAACTCGTTTATTCATTTATCGATTTATCCATTTATCGATTTATCCATTTATCGATGTATCCATTTACTTATTTATTCGATTATTATGTTATCCATTTATATATTTAATCGTTTATGTATTTGTTCGTTAATTCATTTATCTATTTATTCCTTTGCTAATGTATTTGTGCATTTCCTTGTGTCGCGCAGGTGCGCGATCGCCGCTCCCCGTTCCAGCCGCGCCCTCAGCCGCAGGGC